TTGGGAAAAAGGGGAATTGGTTTGGGAAAAAAAAAAGTTTTCCTTCCCGCTTTTTTTCCCCCCAAAAAATTTGGACTGCGGCAGTTTTTTTTTAAATTGGTAGTTTTTTTTTGATGGGAGGAACATTTTTTAAAACCCCAGGGGGGCAGAGAGCTCCCCCCAAATACCATTTTCGAAAAATTAGAAATTGGGGGTGAAGGGAAAAAAATTTTTTGCAAAAAATGGGGCCCCCCCCCGGAGGTTTTTTCCCCCCCCCCCCCCCCCCCCCCCCCGTGACATTTTTCTGTCTACAACGCCAGCAGCAACAGCAGCACCCGGGCAACAGGGACGACAGGAGCAGCAGCGGCGACGTCTTCTTCGACGAGCAATGACGAGCGCGAGAAGTTGTTAGCCCGCGCGTCCTTGAGCAAGGCCACCTTGGCGAGGCATCGCAGCGGCAGCTTCGGCTCCAGCACAAAGTTGAACGAGGTTCCCCTGCAGGTGGGTGTAGGGTGCAACGAATTCCCCTCCTGAATTGACGGTCTCTTCATGTTGCAAGAACAAGGGGGTGCATTTTGGAGTGTCCGGAAAAACTCATCGCCGTTGCATCTCGAACCCAGATGCCACCCCATGGATAGACGTGGTCTACTATTTATTGATAGAGAACATGTTTGTTTCTGGTGCAAGAAAATTAAGAAAGAAATCATCCTGCGTGTGGTGTTGATGTCTTTTCCTAGGCCTGGCGGTTACCATGGTTTCAGCCAACTAGAGAAGCACACACGCAGCAGACGCACCCACACGTACAAAGAGCGTTTATTTTTATTTTTTTGTTCTGTCCCGCTGCTTACGCTTACATGTATAACTGCTATTTTCTTATCCGGTCAGCCGGTTAGCGCTGCGCGGTAACGACGCCGTTTTTGTTCGAAACACGCGCCCACACACACACTCTGTTTGGGGTGCTCGGCAAAGGTCCTGATCCACGGGGGCCCCCAGGAGGGGGGGGGGGTACGTGGATGATGATACGGGTATGATGGACATGACACGTGGGACTAGTCTTGCCTCATTCCTCATGTCTCTTCACTCGTTAATGATACAAGGCCTTGAGTGAACCTTAATCTTTGTCTGACGAAGCTGCTGCACACGCAATGCACGCCTCCTCCTCGCTGTTTTGGCACGACACGACCCAGTGGAGAAGAGGGTCCACCAACACGGACTCCTACGGTGCTGCGGCAAGCGAGGAAGAAGACGGTGGCTTTGGCCCGAGCAAGGCCAGCTGTGGGAGAAACAATGCCAGGTCCCCGCTGGTGAGGGTCGTGGGGGGCATGAAGCCCGCGCCGGAGAAGCCGAAGGGGAATGATGGCACCACGCTGGTGAGCATTTTCCGGGATTTTCTCCCATCGGGTTAATATGTTCTTCGACGGGTGGTGGGACCAAGCTGGCGAGAGTTTTTCCAGTCCTTCTTTTGTCGTGTCAAGTATGGTTGATTTTTTCCACTGAGGATGCCACCGCGCTGGTGATGATTTTCCAAGCCTTTCTCTGTTCTGGTTAATACATAAATTTTTTTTTTTATTGTTTTTCTGTGTTGTTGAGTTCGGTCAGAACGCGGCTGCGTGCCACTATTTCGTTGACGCCGAACCCCAGTCCGGCAACACATTTGCGGTCTCTTCTTAAGCGTTGGTTTGTTAGCCGCCTTCGACCCTTCGGATTCAAACCTCGAGTCCTATGGTACGACGTTTCTTCCAAAAATGAAAATACCTTGCTTGTAAGAGTCGGAGAGGTGGCACCCCCCCTTGGGAGGACTTTCAAAGCTCGACTGCTCCACACAAAGTAGCATAGGTGCGGAAAAAGCCCGATACATGTATGTCTACGGAAACGCCTTGACGAGATGTTTTAAAAACCACCATTTTTGGTGTTGGCGCAAAACCCGTTCCCGGTAAGTGCTGGTGATATTTATCGTGCGAACAGAAAGGCCAGATATTGTTGCAGCTTCAAGAGTCGTATGAGCCCTCCTCGCGTTTTAGTTGACAGATGTGTGACGCGCTCGTTACGATTTGATTGGTGATGATGTTAGTACCATCGGGCAACCACACCTTGTTCGAGCCTGCACAGGGGTAACCGATAACCCCCCACCCCCCCGGAACGATTGGCCGAGTGGTCAATGGTCAAAGGCATGCAGAACGTGAGTACCCCCCCCCCCCCGCCCCCGGTGGCATTTT